TTTTTTTTTTTTTTTTCTTTTCATCCACTTATTTTTTCACATAATAAGGGAGTTACGTGTTATATTAAAATTTATGAAAACTTTCGCCGAGCAGCAGCAGAGTAATAATTGTTTGGCTGGTGATTACACGTGAAAGTGCAGCTGTGGCAGCCTGTGTGGCAGTTGTGTCGACGGCTGCGACGGCGGCAACCATTAGACGGCAGTTATAACAATACGAACTGCTGCGACGTATGTAGGTAAGCGGCATAAAGAGATGAGAGGAGAAAAAATGTTAAATAGCCTTGTAAGTGGAAGGATTTATTTCTGTGTCGCTTAAGTTGGTGCCAACAAAAGACGGGTGTTTAAGCTTCAAGCTCATTTTAAATTTCCCAGTTTCTGAAGTTTTCTCTGAGGAAGTTTGACTGTGTTGTATAAGGGACATTTTATGGGGAAGGTCTGTCTGGGTGGCTGTTCTCATTAGTTTTATCTAGAATTATAGGGTTTCTAGGTATGAATTAGTGCAGAGTTATTTCCAGTAACGCTTTGGCTGGAGGAGTGTGTTGATTTCTGTTGGCTTAGTTTGTGGCTGAGTCTGAATGGGGTGGTTTGTGTGGTGATGGCAGTGGTGCGTATGCGTGTGTACGTGTGTGTGTGTGTGCGTGTGTATGTGTGCGTCTTAGCCTTTGTTCGTCGTCCAAATGTCCGTCATTGGTTCGGTGGAGTGTCGCGGTTTGTGTTATGTTATTGTGGAGGAACATATGTGTTTGTAACTTTATTGGAGAATGTAAGAAAACGACGAAGTTTGGTGGTATTGGTTAAAGTTTCCCACAGCTGTCTGCCAAAAAATAAATAAATGAAAAAATAAATAAATAAGTAAATGAAAAATAAAGGAAGGGAAAAACCACTCTATTTTTGGACATGAACGTGTGGTGGTCAGGTTTTATTTCTGCCTTGTATCGTTCAGCGTACTATCCTTGTTTTGACATTATCTGCGGTTATTGGCTTCGTCTGTTTCGAGGTTGAATAGTTTTAGATTTTTAAAGATTATTATTTTTTTTTTAATTCGAAGTCTCATTCGCTTGTGAACTGTTATGGGATACTATTACTAAACTGCAATGTGCTTGCGGTGCTTCATTTACTACAAATAAGTTTTTTATTTTTTAGAAAGTTCTTCAGGTGACATACTCAGTTCTCACTCATTTGATTTAACCTGAAGATTTGGACATTTTTTGAACTGTGTCGTATGGTTCAGATTCTACTTTGAGCCGTAAGGCTTTTGGTTTTAAATTTATCCCGTTTAAGAATTTTGTGAGACGTTACATTTTGTAGTTTTGAGGTTATACGAATGTATTTAAGAGGATTCTGGAAAGATGTTCTTTTTCTAATGCAGGGATTTCAGAGATTCTTGGAACTTCTAAACATCTTTAAATTCTGATCGTTTTTTGGCACCTCTTGTTAGATCAGTTTTTGTACTGATGCTACTTACACTACTCGATTGTGTGCTTCTCTTTTGAACCCCTACATATTTTTTAAATGCGCTCATTTTGCATTTGCTCACACCAAAAAACCATCTTTTTTTTTTTGGTTTGAGGGAGTGGAGCGCTCAATGTTTTTTCCTTTCAGTTTTTTTCTTCTTGATCGTTTTAGGTCTTTCACTGACATTTTGAAAGTTAAAGATGCTTTTTTTGTTGAGTGAAGACAGGTTTCTGAAGTTTGAAGCCCTTGGTCTTTTCTTAGTTTTTAGACGCGTTTAGTCGGCAAATTCCCTAATCTTTAGGTACCGCTCTTACAAAAAATATATCTGAAAAATTTTTTGTTATTTAATTACTATTTTTCTTTTAGTTCCACCTTATTTACTATGACTATGACCGTGTATGGGAAGTATCTCTAATAGATCTCATTGTTTATCTTTACTCTTTGTTCCCTTACCTTGTAATTCAATTTTCTTTAGTTTACCTGTTTTCTTCTAGTTCCTATTTTTTATAGTGGTATTTATTTTGAGTTTGCTGTTTAAGAAATTTCACTGCGAGGTACAATAATTTTATTGTTTTCATTTTCTCATTGGTGTCTATCAAGACTTTTTTTTCGGGAAGTGCGC